GAGGCCTTATCTCAGCCAGTTGATCCTCACCATCAGCCGACCGAAACCCCAGGTTCGGTCGACCGAACCCCCTCCACCAGCATACCGACAAACTTACAGTGAAAATCCCGAGAACATTCATTTTTCCCCATCGTTTCAGTCGATCGACCCTGTAGGTCAACCAGCTGACTCTGTTTTGACAGCGGGCCGATGAAAGCCTATCAACCGGCTGATCATCCTCTTTGACCGGTAATGTTTGACCATCATTGTAAGATTGTGATATAGGGTATTTTGAAACCCGGAGTGAGCCTTATGACGGTTTTGGACACTAGAAATAAATGTATGATCTAGCTGACCTTGGGTCAAGGCAAGGACTCGGTTAACGGTCCGGACCCACGGGTTCGAGTCGTTACACCAACCCACCATATGAAATGTTAAACCCAAGCCAAACCCTAACCCTATCCTTAACATTAACTACTCAATCCGAGCCTAACCCATCCTTTTAATTTTAAATTCGGTCTTGCAACTTGGGCTTAGATTTCAAGTTAAAATTTTGGGTTAATTCAGGTTACTCATATGGATAATCTTTATACCGAAAATTTAATGTGATCTTGAATTAGTTTTAGATTAAATTATTCTTAAACAAGAAGATATTTAAAGACTTTTTGTAAATTTTTAATAAATTACAAACAAATTTTTAGAAAATTAATTATTCTAAATGTTAACATACAGTAAGTTAAGATTTAACAAAAAAAAATTTGAAAAGAAAAAAAATAATCATAATTTAAATATTATATATAATGTATTTAAAAGTAAAAATATATATGAAAATAAGATTAGAATTCAGGTTCGGATTAGTTCGGGTTGCTAGTCAAACCCAACCTTAATTAAATTCGAGTTGAGATTTTTCAACCCAAATCCAACCCTAATTGTGCTAGGCTCGGATTGAGTTTGTGTTACCTAACCCAAATTGCACCCCTATTTAGAAACTTATTTGGTAACATAAATTTGTTATAAGACTTTTAGAAGCAAAAACATGAAAGTATATTTAGTAAAAAGTGTTACAAGTTTGAAAATTTAAATAATTAATTAAAAATATTATTTTAAAATATTTATTTATTTATTATTTTTATTTTACAAAAAAAAGGAGCTAAAACTCCCAACAATATATGCCCTACCGCTGAACTAGCACTGCACATATAAAAACACGTACGTGGTGATTGGATCTGAATATTATATAGGATGGAGTTATGAATTCAATGCAACTCACCAAAGAAGTCAAAAGAAAAGGGGTTGGAAAAAGAAATGGTACAGTAATAATAAATTAAGTATAATGAAATGAGCGAATGCACATCTTAAAAGGATGGGTGACTTTGAAATGCACTTCTTGCACGTCTTAAAAGGATGACGACTATTCGTGGATGAGAAAGCAGGATCCTATTAATTTTGTATTATTATCCAAGGTCAAATATTAAACTTCTCAATCCAGTGTGAGGAATTTGCATCTACTTGTTTGTACAAATCCATTATCATGTCAAATCCGTAATTCTTACAATGTTTTAGAATTATTTTGGAAACACGAAATATATATTATTTTTATTAAGGTAAATTATGAAAACAAGAATGTCAATTAACTTTTTTGGGAGAATAAAATTATAAGAAAATTATTTGCGGTCCAATTTAGACCGACTAGCATCACTATTCACCATTCGAGCTCAAAACATGCTCATAATTGAAGACTTTATCTTACACCTAGTATTTAAAATAAAAAAAAGGGTAAATAAATCAACTAATTTTTAAAAAAATTATATAATTTCAGGTCAATCACTAATCGATACACAAATAAATGTATCATCTTTATATGATTTTTTATTTATTAATTAGTCAAAAACTTAAACCCTCACAACGCCAATTATCAATTTATCAAGAATATATATATATGTTGTTTTTAATGCCTATTTGCAATGACAATATATATATTGTCATTGTATATATATTGTCATTGCAAATAGGCATTAAAAACAACAATAGAGAAAAATACAATTGAAAACTTATAATCAAATATAAATTACATCTTAGTATTTAAAACGTTGTTTTAGCAATACTGAGAAAATAGGATTCTGAATGAATATTATATTTTTATTGGGTAAGGAATACATATTATTATTGTTCATAAAAAAATAAAAAGAAAAAAGTAAAAAGAAAAAGGAATCTTAGCGCGAAGGGAACAAACTCTTGACAAACTAAGACGTGAGTACTCATGCTTGTGAGGTCATACAGAACACTTGGGTTGTAATGTATTTTATCTAGTTATAGTTTCGTACGGCAAAACATAATTAATTAATAAAAAATAATAAAATAGAAGTTATTGTTAGACGACCTGCCACTTGTTTGATTCTACGTGTCCTTTGTGGCATTTTTTCAAATTTTCCTTTATATATTTTTCTATACATATGATGATGAAATAGTCGGTCACTGTAATTAACAACAACAAAATATATCCATTTCTCTCAGTTTTACCTGGCTCATGATCTCTCATGTCTCTATCCAATATTCATAGAGTTTTTTAATATTCTATTAAAAATTATAATGTTGCAAAATTATACTTACTGCTCGGCATTGACCCAACGTGCACCCCTACTGAATTTTTTATATTTTGATTTTATATCTTAATTTTTATTATAATTTATGAAAATACCCACACTAAAAATATCATTTGTACCATTAGTTTTTTTTTTTTTTTTTAAACTTTTAAGAATTTATGAAAAATTTTCAGTAAAATTCCAATTCGCCCCCACAAATTTTTTTTTTTACTTTACATTTTTTAAAATTTCTAAAAAAATTAAATTGAAATTATAAAAATAGACCCACTATATAAATTTGTCTTCACAAATTAAAAATCTGTTCCTCACAAAATTTTCTGAATCCGTCACTGCAGTGAAAACACATTTATACCAAACATGGTGCTAGTGAGAAGATTACTTCATGCATGACAGGGTTCATATACTTCTATAAAGACTACACCTGATGTGGACGTGATCTGGACCCTTCACTTGTTTTCCTGTACACAAGATTGGATCATCTCCTCCTCCATACACAATTAATTCAAAAATTGTGCCAAGCTTTCAATCATCGGATGGCATTAAGAGAAATTGGATCTTACCCTTTTTCTCCTTTTTTTTTTTTTTTTCATGATTATATTATTATTTGCTTCATGATTATATTATTTTAATTGAAAATTAGAGTTTTAAGTGAAAAGGTAAGAGCAAATGTGAAGATTCGTGAAATTATGTTATGGTAGGACTCTTTTTTGGGACGTAGGAGATACACTCAATATGGCAAAGAAGTGTCATTATCAGATATGTTGTCATAGCATCATGCGACATGCTTATTCACATTACACGCCTTCCACTCTTTGGACCTCTTAACGGACAACAAGTTGACGTCCCATATACAAGATCAAAACATGTCACGTTTATTCATAGCCTTTAATTTTAGTAATTTAATATGGTAAGTTTTGAATATCGTACGGCCTACAATCTCTACTTATTTACTGATGGGATATATTTGAAGTCTTATCTTATTTTTGGCTCAATTGTTTTTTTTTGTTTTTTTTTTTTCAGTTGTTAAAGAAAAGAGAAAAAAAGAGTTCAAATATTCATTTAATTAGTTGTAAGTTTTTAAATTCAACTTAAAAAACAGTAATTGTCTCTTGTAATTTTTTTATATTGTTTTATACTGAAATAGAGTTTTAGAAATTTGGTTTCAAACTGTTTTAGATAATTGAAAACAAACAGTACTTATTTTCATGGTACAGCTACTCTTAGTTCACTTGTTTTTTTTTTTTTAATTTTTTTTTTTATAAAAAAATTCGATTAGTCAGAGTCTTGCAATTTTATTGTTTAGAGGGAAATTATCATTTAATGACCAAATTTAAAAATATTTGTGCTACACCATAGTCGCAATGCAGGCAAATATTTGTTTTTAATTTTCGTTGTAGTACAGTGACCACTGACCATAGTCACTATGCAGAAAATATTTGTTTTTATTTTTATATTTGTCATTCATTACTGTATTTCCTTATTCATGTTTTGTCTCCCAAAGAGATGGCTAAGGCCCGACAAAGCAAAAAAGAAAAGGGCAAAAAAATAAAATGAAATGACATTAAAGAAATTGTTGACATTAGGTACGTAGCTTCTCCATGCGGACAACAATTTTAAACATGCTCAAACACTTTTAAGATACCATATAAATTTAACATTCTCCTAACTTTTAAAGTTTTAAATGAATTTCAAAATTAATTCTTTATGTTGAGCAATTCATTCTAATACAATGAAGACCGTCCATGCCAATATTTGAGTCCTCTGAGCAAACATTATCTAACAACCATGTCCTCCAATTTAATATTCGTCTGTCATTTCGAAAAATATAAAATTGAAAATTAAAATTGGTTTAATTTAAAAAGATTTTGACCCTAATACCTCTTAAAGTATTAAGTTTCAAGATTAATTTTTCTTAGGTGCAAATAATTTCTTAGAAACTACGTCTACGGATTCCGTGAATTAGTTGGGACAAAGTCCTGAACATCCCGATTATCATATATATATATATATATATATATAGTGATCAGCCACTTTTACAAATAATGTCAAATATGAGAGCAGTCTCCAATCTTTCCCTCCTAACACTCCACATAAGCATAGAAAAAAAAAAAAAAATTACATATGGAGGCTGCTAATATATATTATGTGTATAAAATGTTTTAACATTTATAACGTATGAAAGGTTAATGTTTTTTGTAATTGTAAGTGGGCAACTTTTAATAGTACATTTTAGCCATACGATGAGTAGCTTGTCTGTTTAATATACTTGTTGAACATCCATGTTATATCTAAGCAGCAGGCGTGCTGAAGTTTGTCTCAGTGTGAAAACATCATCCTTAACCAACCATTTTGACCACGTACCTCTGCCTGTCCTCAACGGTACCCTCCTCCCTCCAACCCTAGCTACCTAGCTTCAAAATGGAGAATCTTTCGAGCACAGAGAAGTCCGGCGAAATGGTATGGAACTCAGATCATGACCAAGGTTTCAAGTCCTACACATGCAGCTTTTGCAAAAGAGGCTTCTCAAATGCACAAGCATTAGGAGGCCACATGAACATCCATAGGAAAGACAGGGCCAAGCTCAAAGAATCTTTAGACGAAACCCTGCTTTCTGGGGACATCGCGAAAAACAATCCTTCTGATCATCCTCAGGCTTCTACTGATGAAAACTTGTCCCAACTGAAGTCTAGTACTGATCATCAAGAGAAAGATTCTTCCCCTAAAAGGCCATGGGTTTTCGCTATAGAAGATGATGCCTCTTCTAGGGTCAAAGATATTGGTACTACAGGGGGATCGCGGAAACTGCCATTTTTTGTTGAGAAGCCATTGACAGGCCATGATGATCTAAAGGCCAGCAGTACTGATGCTAGTGGACATGTACATAAGGCCATGCAGTCGAGTGATGGTTCTTCGCGGCCAGAATTGGATCTTGAGCTTCGGTTAGGGCCTGAACCTCATGAGAATTCAACAGTGAGTACCAAAGAGTTCTTTTGATTTTGTAGAAATTAAGCTTGCTGGTTGGATCGAGCAAAGAGTTTTTCTTCTTGTTCTCAACTTTCTACTTTCTTATGCATAGAGATAATAATTACTGCCTTCAAAAGGAAATAATAACCAAAATGATCTATATATTATTGATGTTCTAATCTGCTTCTAGTATAACTCTTGTGCTGCAAATTAAAGCAAGGTGTCCTCAATGACTTCACACACACAACACACACATACATTATTCCCAATACATATTCCTAAATATTAAAATTAATCGATTCAATTTCTCCATTTATTTCTAGCTCCATCAGCCGATTCCCTTTTTGTGCTCTATTATTTCATCTTTATTTTCAGCATTGAAAGTGTAGTTATGAGACTAATTAAATTAAGTTCGTGTAAGAATCTAACTGAATTGTTTAGTTAGATGAAACTTCTTGTGAATTAAAATGTCATATGACATACAGAGTATTCATTAATTATGCCCGTTTTATGACAACATGCAAGAAAAGGCTTCTAAGATGCATCAAACTTTGAATACTTTAAATAAAAAATTTTGACACTTAAACTGGCATTCATTAATATGCCCATTTTGCGGCAATAAGAGAAAGGGAAAATGGCAATTCAATCATGAGGAAGACCGTAATTAAACCTTAACAGAAGGTGATTACTTCTAAAAGTCTAACATAAAATATTTCTCAAAAAAAGAAGAGTGAGTTATATAATGTGAGTGAGATAATAAAAAAAGGGCGGTCCTAAAGTGATTGAACATGTAACTATGCTTTGTACTTGGTAGTAGGATCATCACCATTATCGTCATAACATTAAAAATTCTACTTGAAGCAGGTCTTGAAAATGACAAAAATAAAAAAAAGAAACACAAATGTTCTTGATAAAATATCATATATAATTAAAGATCTCAACAAAATAATCCCAAATACAGAATGAAACACAATGGATTGTTTAATTCCTAATGACATGAGTATAAATTTGGCATAATGGAATAGAAGCTTAACAATTCTGAAGGTAATCAAAGGTTTAATTATCATGATTGCTAAATCCCTCTATGTAACTAATTGCAGTATTCGTAATTTTTACAAGTTAATTATTGAATTTAAACCCAACAATTGATATCCGAGTCATTGTTAGGCTGAAGTTTAAAAGCAGTTGGACATAAAGATTAAGATTGTTAGTTCGGATTGAGATCGTGAACATTATGGGAGAATGGACAAGGAGGTTGTTAATTTTTGAAACTTTCAGTACATTACTGATGACTCAAAGAGTAGGGCATTATGCCGCGACATGCCACTCCTAGTTCTCCTCAAATTGAAGTTGCAGAAAGGAGAAACTGCACCTATCAGAATGTTGTTTATTGTCCCTTTAGGCTTATGGAGATTGTGAAGACATTTGATATATCATTGAGGATTGTGCATCAAAGTGTCTCTTTGTAGAGGAGTGATCTTCAGTGGTTTCAGTTAGAGCTCCCATTCCCGTTCTTTTTGTTATTTCTCTTAAGTAACCTCTTCCTTCAGATTCCAATCTAGGAGATTTTCTAGAGGTCGATCTTAGATATGTTACAGAGATTGATATTGGTAGGCAAGAGGATCCGACTTCCTTTACGAGGCATGTAGAATTTTGAATCTTCTAGTTCGTCGGTTGTTATAAAGTAAGAATTTTTTTTATTGCATATTAAAGGTTGTGGTGTGGACTCAATCTATAAGGCTTTGCTATGTTTCCATGATAATGAATTTTTGACCAAGTATGTGAAAAATGAAAAGTTGACCAAGTTTTTATTTATTTATGATAAGCACATTGACATAAATTTTATTTTTTTATTTTTATTTTTATTTTTGGTGTTTGAGAAGGTTAAGGAAGGTGTTTTTGAGGTCCCTATATAAATAAGGAAAAATTAATTGCAAATCTTCTCAATAAAGATAATAAAGTATTTAAGGAGCACGTGATGGAGAATGGTGTTTGAGAATCATTATGTTATGGTGTCTGATATTTTTTTTATATCATATTACATTACAGTCAGTTTTAAGTTTATTTATATTTTATGGTGATAGTTATTTTTCTCTAATTTACGTTTTATGGTGATAATTATTTATATGCCAAAATAAAGTTGTATATGATGCAACATTATTATGAATATCTTGATATATATGGTTTATGCAAATATAATTATTAAAGGTTCTTTGTGTGAGTGTTCACACTCCTTGAGGATAGTTTGGGTTAGATATTAGACTAACTCCATATTGATAAACCCTCACAGTAGATAAACCCTCACAGTAGTAGACAGGAGATTGGTGTCGTAATATGAACACGCGACATACTGTGATGGGATGAAGCGGGATGGATAGTGAGGTGTGTGTTTACATCACATGAAGTGTACACATCTCATAACAGTAACCATACTATATTTGCTTTTAGTCCTAGATGAAATCATTTTTTAGACCATGTAATTATTTAGACTAAAATATTACTTGTCCATGCATTCATGATCCAGGTCTAGTATCTTATATTGAGGAAGTTTATGAAGGAGAAAGTTCAAGGAGTGCACTAGAATACAAGTCTTTCAGTTGATTATTAATTTTTATTTTTTTTTAGCATCTTTCATTTAAATGAAAAGTAGATGTAAAATTTTCAAAAAATAAAAGTACATGTAAATTTTAATTAATGAAAAAAAAAAAAAAAACGGCACATACAGCTAATGTTAACTTTTTTAATGAAAATGTTTTTATTTTTTTCAAAAAATAAAAAATATTTAAAAATTAAGAAAATGTCTTACAATTTTATTATAGTATAGATATAGATTTATTACAACATGAATGATACTAATAATTCAAATATTAAACAAATGAAAATTGAGCAAGAATAAATAAAAATAAGAGATTTAATACATATATCAAAATAACAATAGTAGGTAAAGATATAGTTTAAGAAAGAGCCCTAATAGATAGGCATGTTTAAACACATTGTCCTTAAGCGGATAGTCCTCCCCTTCATATAGACACATTAGATAGCTCTAAGATATAACCCAATTAGTTTACAAGGCGTCTCTTCTATGTGCACAACCACAGGAAGATTAAGTCCAAATCTTTATGTGTCTCGTTGCTCATAAACTTGTAAAGTATAAAAAGAATGTAGAGATGTAATAAAAAAACATGCATGGGAAGAGTATATGGTTGCTTGGTTTATAACCATGTCTCAAGAATTCAAAAAACTTCTGATATCCTGGATTTTTCAGTATTTTTCTTATTTTTTATTTTTATTTTTTTTGACGCCTCGATTTGCATATCATGCACCGGTTGGCGCACTGTGTGGGTTCCGAGAGTCATTTCGGGCATTTCTTTGAGTTTAGAACTTTAGAGATGCTTTGTGATCTTTTTCGGTCTTTTTCGGGTTTTGGACCGGGGGATCCCATGTGAGTCCGGGGTGGCAGTGCACGAGAATGGTGAGGGTCTAAGTAAAAGGTTATTGGAAGGTGTTATTATTATTTTTTCGGTGGATTGTTTCCCTTGGGTAATATCATGAAAGTTGTTTGGAGAAAGGAAGTAATTAGTTATGAAATTTTGGAGTTAAGTGATGTAATTTGTGAAAATTAGATATTTGACCACTTTGAGATTTTCGAAATTCCTAGGACTTGATTCGGAGTGAGGGCTAGTTAGAGAAGTGGTCCAAGAGGAAAAGTTGTTCCCCTTCTCATCCTCTTCATTTTGATGGTCCAAGTTTTCAATTTGGTGGAGTTTCAAGCCTTGAAGCAAGCTAGGATTTTCCACCCTTGAGGTAGGGGTTGTCTAACTTGTGTAATCATAGGTCCTTGTTAGTGATTTTTGTTTTCCCCTTAAAAGCATGCTTAATTTATATGAATTAGTTGAATTGGATTCTAGGGTTTTGCTTATGATCATTACTTGTTAAACATATTGTTGCTTGAATTGAGGTTAATGTTACTTATCTGTTATTTAGCATGATGTTTTTGTGGACATGATTACTAATTTGAGAAAAACTATATATTCTATGTTGTTGGTTCCATGTTGTAAATGACTAATTTGAAGTGGATAATTGTGAATTGTGAACTAAACTATGTTTAGTATCACAATTACATGATAAATTGCTTATATGAAACTATCATCTATATTGAAATGCAATGTTATGTGGCTTGATTGCTAATGTGGGTCTCTTGATAAATTGTTACAAAAGTATGTTTATTATTCTAATTGTAATTGTGTGGTGATGATGAAAAGCATGTTAGACTTTATTCTCATGACATTGTTCATATCATGATGTGGGTGGGTAAAGTGGTATATGTGTTTGTGGAAGATGTGGGGGAATTTGACTTGGTGAACATTGTTTTGATTCAGTGGATTGCTTGGGGTATATATATAGTGTTTCAGTGGCATTTTATATTATATTGGTGGTGGTTTTAGTGGTTGTGAATTGTGATGGTTTTAGTGGAATTAATTGGGCAATAAAACAAATAAATAAATACATATGATTGGGGAGTTTCGGTCGACATGTCACGATTTTGGGCAATGAGCAATTTCACTGTAGATGACCCAGACATGAATCACATGTCGATCGAATGTCCCAAGCCAGTCGACGTGTAATGTCGACACGTCCACGGGTTCTACTATATATTATTTGTAATTTATTTTTCCCCCTTTTACCCTTTTATTACTCATTTATTATTACTAGTATTTACTATGTGACCCAGCAAAAATGAAATTATTGTGTTTTAACCACAAGTTTGACTATATTACCCCCGAACTTCATCCTAGTCATTGGATGTCCTTGGTAAATGACTGTATGATCTTCTTTTTTTTCTTTTTTTTTTTGAGTCTTAAGCCATTATAATTGAGTTAAACAATCATTTTACCCTTGTTGGGTCTTAAAGTATTAATTTATTATGAAATGACCTTAGTACCTTTCTATGTCCTTGGGTTTGGGTGAGGATCTGGTTAGTGATTCCGATTCCTGAGTTCGGGTCGTTACAAAACTATTTTTAGATAACA